AACAACAACAACTTGCCTCGCACCTTAGTGTTCATTAATGCCAGATGTACATTGTTTATGTACAAAACAGATGGGTGGTACATTTTTTTATGATTGTTATAAATTGCCATAGATGGAAAATGTCAGATAAAGAGACAGTTGGTAAGTGAGGAGAAGTGTTTAATTTTATGGCAGGTCAACATTTTAACATCTTTTTAAAGACAAACAATCATAGTCATCTTGTAGGCGATGACAACCTTCTTCTGTACTCTTTGACAAAGGTGAAAGAAAACTGATCAAGAACCTTCATTATGAAGGATTCTGTGTCACAGCTAATCAGATCACTCCCCTTTTTAAAAGTGTTGCATACATGGTAGGGAAGATTTAACAATGTTTTCTTTGGTAAAGTTTCTAGACTGAATGGAATTTTCAAAAATTTACAAAGTCTAGTTTGTATTTGGATGAGATAGCAATACACTTTTGCTTTCTGTTTTCTTCAGCTTATTCAAAATCTTTATAGAAATCAAGAAGTCAATTTGAAACTCCAAGGTAGCGTAGTGGTTACGAATCGGGCTGCTACCATCAGGGTCAGCAGTTCGAAACCACCAGCTGTTCCATGGGAGAAAGATGAGGCTTTCTGCTCTCGTAAAGATTTACAGCCTTGGAAACCCTGTACGGGGTCGCTGTGAGTCGGAACCGACTCCACGGCACATAACCACAACAACAAGACCTAGAGAGCGCTTTTGCTGTGGTCTCCATGATTCAACATACTACAGCAGGGCTTTAAAATATTTGTGGGACACTGAGGGATGGATGTTGTTTGTAGTCCTGGAGCTGACTGTACTGTTTAAAATCTAAAATTCGATTAGATAGATGTTGGAAGTCCAGGATGTGGTTGAAGATGGTATTTGCAAAAAAAAAAAAATCATCTTAGGGGCTCTCTGACGTGCTCTGGATCCCTAAGAGTAAGGATGGAGATTGACTTTCATTTTCTAGACTTGGCATCTTGAGAGTCTGGCAACAATCGTTTTCGCAATGACAGTGCAGAAGAGTTTGGTAATACAAAGAATCAAAAACATACAATTGTCTACCTTGCTACATGTGCAGGAACCGAGGAAGAAAATAGGTGAGCAGGTCAAAAGAAACCAAAGGAGAAGAAGTTTTTTAGGAGGAAGAAATGGGTCACATTTAGGTGGGAAGGTAGACACCTGGGCAGGCCTTTGGGAACATCTTTGGATTGGCCAAAAGGGTTTGCTAGAGGGCTCTTAGATAAAACATAAAATTGATCTTGCTTTTTGAGCTAACATAAAAACTCGTTTTCTGTTAATAAGTAAATTAAACCCTTCCACACTGGTGCTGTAGGATAAGCACTGAACCACAAGGTTGATTTGAACTGCAAGGTCAGTGGTTCAAACCCACCAGTTGCTCCTTGGAAACCCTATTCAGGGTCGCTATGAGTTGGAACCAACACGACAGCACTTAATAACATGTATTAATATAATGGCTGTACATGCATTTGGCCTTTGGGATGGTGGGGAGAAAGTCTGTGGGAAATTTTCATTGCCTTTTCACTCCGTTTTCCCACGAGCTTTCTGAAGTCCCCTCATACTTGGTATCCTGGAGACAGCATAACTGTTGGTAAGGTCTGACCGAATAGGCTCTACACTGTCAGCAGCCAACCCATCTGTTAGCAAAATTTCTCATCTTGTTCCCCCGCAGGACAGTCGCTTGCCACCACTGACTCGCTGTAGTAGTTTCCTATCATGCCTGTTACGTAGAACCACAACTTCAATAGCGTAAACAACACAAAGCCATTCTCTTACATGGAAATTCCAGTGTTCTCAATAGGAGTTCTATGGGAGAATCTGTTTTCCTTGTTCTTTCTAGCACCGAGAGAGCCCTGCTGTCTGTCTTCAAAACATCCCTCATTGAACATACTCAAAAGAGTTGACTTAACATCTTTGATTAATAATTCCAATGTCTGGACTTCCTCAAGGATGCTTTCTGTCAAATTCTTTATCCAGTGAATAGAATAGGCCATAATTTTCTCTTTAAAAAAAAAAAATTCTTTTGTAGTTTTTTGTTGCGGGTGGGACATGTATATTACATTACAGCTGTCCTGGAAAAGGAAGTCTCTCATTCCTCAGGGATTGCTCATTTTTGCTTGCTGAATGCGAATGTATTTGTGACTTTTCCATACTAATCTCACAAGTTGTGTCAGTTTCCTGTTCCATGTGGCCACTGAAGTTTCTATTTCATCATATTTGCAGTCAATCTGACAAATATTTTCCTAAATGTCTGGTTCCTAAAAGAAGAAAGGACGGAATGGGGATTTGGGGGGGGGGGGGGAAGGAAGAAAAAAGGAAAGAATGAGAGAGAAAGGCAGGTAGGCAGGAATAGATGAGGGAAGAAGGAAAACAGAAAGAAGAAGAAAAGAAGGAAAAAAGGAAGAAAAAGAGAGAAATGGTATTATTTCTTTAAATCTCCTCAGTAGATGTAGCCTGGGCACTTCCTTCAGTCCAGGGGAGTTGGAATGCCGCGTGAAACACTTTGCTGGCTCCTCACCAATCAAAAGCAGCAACTGGCAATTGAAATTATACAACCCGAGTTTTTGGAGGACAAAGTCCTTCTTGTCCACTTTGACACCAGCAAGCCACATCAGAAACATGAGCTACCATCCCCATGACTCTCTGCCCTGGGGTTAGGGATGGTGGATGGTAACCTTAAATAAAAATATACCTAATATAGCTCCTAAACATACTCGAAATATACCTAAGTTCACCATCCTCTTCATCAAACACTCCCCTGGATGCTGCAAGTATCTGACTTGATTGCAGAGTTTGAAGGTAGTTGATTCAGATCGGTTCTGCCAGTTCAATAGCTGTTCCTTGAAGGAAATGATTCCTGGAGCTTTCTACTCTGCTATCTTCCATGCTGTCCTGGATTTTATTTCTGGATTGTTTAAGTACAGAGAAAGACAACAGATTCTTGAGTATGGGTTTTACATCCTCTAATCTTGCAGAACTTTTTATTAGCTCTAATAGTTTCTCTCTGTGTGTGTGAGTGTGTGTGTATTCCTTAGAATTTTCTATAGACCAGATCATAGTTTTACTTCTTCCCAATGTGGATGCTTTTAGTTTCATTTTCTTGCACAGAAAGATGTGAAAACTTCTTGATGAAGAAGTTGGTGCCCGTCTCATCCTAGACTTGTGAAATGCCATCTCCATATGTGCTTTCACATCCCCTTCTCCATCTCATAAGCAGGTGCCATGGAGTTGAGTGTAACTCACAGTGACCCCTTGTGTGTCAAAGGCCAGCTGTCATGCATAGGGATTTTTCAATGATTGACTTTGTGGCAGTACATCTCTAGTCCTTTCTTCCAAGGTGCTTCTGAACGGATTCAACTTGCCAGCCTTTCTGTTAGCAGCCAAGTGTTAACACTACCATTTACAGGACCCGGGCACTGGGTTCTCTTGTACCTACTATGCAGTCAGGATACACCTTGTTGTGGTTATTTACCTCTTTGATTTCTTTAAAGCAAAGATACCCTTTTGATGACGAATGTGTGCCCGACCAAAGCCATGGCCTTGTCAATTGCTTCATATACATGTAAACATTGGACAGTGAAAAAAGAAAAGAGAAGAAGAATTGATACTCTTGAATGGTTATGCTGTGTGTTGGTAAAGAATACTGAATTCACCATGAACTGCCAGAATATCAGTGTTAGAAGAACTAAAACCAGAATGCTTCTTAGAAGTGAGGGTGGTAAGACTTTGACTCATCTACTTTGGACACATCATCAGGAAAGACTGGTTGCTAGAAACAGGATCTCATGGTTAGTAACGTGGAAGGTTGGTGCAGATGAGTGGGTTCCTCAGTGGGATGCATTGACATAGTGGCCAAAACAGTACACTCAAACCTAACAGTGATCACGAAGACAGTACAGCGCCGGGCAGTGTTCCGTTCTGTTGTATATAGGGTCACGATGAGTTGGAGTCAAACCCAGGACAAGTGAGAACACCCTATATTAGGTGTCTACCCATCTGTTACTAAGCATAGTTGTTGTCGTTAAGTACCATGGAGTCTGTTCCGACTCATAGCGACCCTGCACAGGGTTTCCGAGGCTGTAAATCTTTACGGGAGCAGAAAGCCTCATCTTTCTCCCGTGGAACAGCTGGTAGTTTTGAACTGGCGACCTTGAGGTTAGCAGCCTGATTCGTAACCACTACGCTACCAGTGCTCCTTTGATTAGCACCTCTTTTAGTGCTGTGTGGGCCATGCCAGCGTTGCTCTTGTAACTGATCTCCTTTTCATTCTCTGAACTTTTAGAAAATATTCACCATGTTAAAAATTAGACTAGCCTCATCATGATACAAACCTCAACAGTGAATCCCCAGACAAAGTAAAACATGGGTGATTACAGGACACTTAAGGTGAATCACTCTATGTGATACAACAGTTATTGTGAGAATTGCAAATCATAGTTGACAACATCAATGGTGATGGGGTGGATAGGGCAATGACAAAGGTAATCTATGCAAAGCCGTTTGAACTGCAATGTCGGTGGTTCAAGTTCACCAGCCGCTCCTCGGAAACCCTATACTGGGTCACTATGGGTCAGAACCGACTCGACAGCACTTAACAACAACAAAAATCCATTTGAAAGAGTCCAAGCATGGCACTGCAGAATAATGCACTGGACTGCAAGAGGTTTGAACTCACTAGCCACTCCTCAGAAACCCTATACAGGGTTACTATGACTCAGTACTTAACAAGAATCCATTTCAAAGCAAAAAAGAATTTTGCTTTTGGTTCCTAATATTGATTTTGTCCTTTCCCCTCAAACGTCTACACTGGTCACTGAAGAGTGGGATTTTTTGCATGCTGGGAAGGGTTTATAGGACATGGGAGTTTAAGTGAGAGAACGGGGATGGTCCCACAGAAACCTGGACGGTTGGCCACTTAAATTTTACTCCTCTGTAGGTAGAGGTGGGACTCATGTAACCTATATGCAGTGCACCTCCGAGGCTCCTCATAGCCTGTTTTGTGACTGCTGGTTTGCTGTTTGTTTCAGGATAAAACTATGAGACTATGGAATATTGAAAAACTTGACCAAATTCCTTTGGTAATCAAGTACAAAAAGGCCAAGGGTTTAAAGGTGACACAGGTGGGTATCGGGTAAAATTAAGCCTAATGAAAGTCTTTCATTAATTCACTCTACAAATTCATTCATTCTCTGAATAAACATTTATGGAGCAATTGGGAATACAACAATGACTAACTGGGAATACAACAGTGAATTTAAACTGGGAGAGCTTGAATTCTAAAAGGGAAGACAAGCAACAAATAATGAAACAAGAAAAACATATAGAAGTCACATTGTTATTATACGCTGTTGAGTCAGTTCCAACCCTGTGTAGGGTTTTCAAGGAGTGGCTGGAGAGGTTTGAACTGCTGACCTAGCGGTTCAAACCAACCATGTGATCCAGTGCCTTATCCTGCAGCATCACACCAGGGCTCCATGGTGGTTATGTGCCGTGGAGTTGGTTCCAACCCATAGCGACCCTGAATAGGGTTTCCAAGGCTATAAATCTTTATGGGAACAGAAAGCCTCATCTTTCTCCTGTGGAGCAGCTGGTAGGTTTGAACTGCTGACCTCAAAATTAGCAGCCCAACTCATAACCGCTACACTACCAGAGCTTCTTAGTGAATCACATGGTGTTAAGTAATTTGGAGAAAAATCAAACAGGAAAGGGAGATGGGCGTGCCAGGTGTGGCAACATTTGAAAGGGTGGTTAGTTAGTGTAGGTCTCGTTGTTTAAAGACCTGAGGGAGGTGAGGATGCTTGCTGCGTGGGGAGAACTTCTTAGCAGAGGGAGAGCCAGGCTGCGGGCAGAGTAAAGGAGGGAGAGTGGAAGGAGGGGAGGCCTGAGGGAGGCCTGAGTGAAGGAATGGCTGGCCTATCTGAGCCAGGGTAGGGGCTGCCCTCCTGTGCTCTCAGCAGACATCTTGGCAGGGCCATCATCCCATGAAAGGCGTGTGGGCCCCTGCAGTTTTCTAAGGGAAGAACTTGGTGGTAGTAGCTTGACCCATCTGCTGTACTAGGCCCAGCCAGGACAGGTCACAGGGGCTTTCTGGACAGTCCTCCTCTGGGCAGAGACTTCTCTGTGTGGGTACCTCATAGAATTCTGGAACTACTAAGACTTGTCTTCTCTCAGAAGGCCCAGTTGAGAGAGAGCAAGGAGCCTCTGACCAGTTCTGTGGGGCAGGGAGAGAAAGGGACGGAAACCTTGGGGACATCATTGGTGTGGCCAGCTGCTCTTCAAGCCCCTGAGTCACGTTGGTCCTTGGATCCTGGAAGCTGACTAAAGAGTAGCGCGTGCCCTAGTCCTTTCCCAGCTACTGGGGAGGGCCTGAGAGCTTCCCCCTCTGTAAACACCGTTGTTCTGGTGTTGGTCCTGGGAAGTTGCTCTGCAGAATAAGGCAGGTACATGATCTGATTTCTTTCGTGCAAACAAAAGAAAGAAAACACCTACATGAAGCTGTAGCCTCACTGTGAGGAACCTTAGCAGCCAGACTGACCGGTGGGTGTATCCCAGGTGAGGTTTGTCTGGCCTTCCCTTGCAGGCTCCAGGCACCTGGGCCCACAGGAAGCTGGGTAGGCAGCTCCCAGGCCTGGCAGCTGCACTAATCTCTGCTCTAAGGGAGAAGCATCGGAGCCAGGCCTGGGTGCCCTGCTTTGGGCAAAGCGTGGGGGCCTGGAGTGCCAGGGCAGGGTATGCCACTTTGCAGTCTTGTCTCAGGGGGAACCCCTGCAAGTCCCTGCCCATGGCCTGCTTGCTTCCTTGCTTGCTTGTGGGAAGGAGCTGTGAGGAGTGAGTTGTGCCATTCATGTCCAAGTTCGCTCTGTGCTTTGGCCAGAAGTAGGCTGTCCTCAGGGACAGAGGAAAGGAGGACAAACACCCAGTACCTGTAGCCTCCTGCTGTTTGGAAATCTTGCCCGCTTGCTTCTCCTGGCTCTGTAGAAGATGGGTGCCCCTGGGCTGCTTGGGAGTCAGGACATGCCCTCAGCTCTGCACAGAGCAGTAGGCGGGGTTGGATACTCCCCCTGAACCATTCCCATGGACTAGTGGCTTGTCATTTTTGCATCTAGCATCCCCATGGCAGGGGACATGAGGCCATTTAGATAACCTCTGCTAGGACCTGCTTAGCTCTGAAGGGGAAAGAAAGGGGCACTAGCTGTGGTCAGTCTCGCTCTCTGGCCTGCAATGTGCTTGCTTGTGGGGTTGGAGACCCCAGCCTAAGATGGCTGGCTCAGGAGGGGGAATTGTAACTGCATGCCGTGTTCCCCTCTGATTGGTACTTCCTTTCTGTTCTTGTGACATATTTCACGGCAGTGTGAAGGCTGTGACAGGCCTTTCTCCATTTACGAAAGTGACAGTTCTGAAATACTCACCAAATGTGTGTTCTGCCGGATGGATGACAGGCGCTGGACAGCAGAGGCACCACCATCATCACCATCGGAAAAGGTGATCTCCCGAGCAAGTGAGGACAGCACATACAAGGGGGACTCATGAATGTGAGCACAAAGGCTGTGGGGCTCTGCAGAGACTCGCTGACTGGAGCAGGGGCCAAGCTCTGGCTGGGCTGCCTCTTACCACATTGCTACCGTCTCAGCCCCAAAGCAGCCTTGGGGAGTAAACCTCTTCTTTTTCTTTTTCATGCAGAATAAATCTATACATTTTTTTTGGAAAACAAGTGTACATATGAATCCTAGAAGTATTATTATTATTATTTTTAACCAGTTCTAAGCTTTGTGCGGCGCTGTGGAATCAAGTACTGGACTGCAAGGCTGGTTTGAACCACAGGATAAACAGTTCAAACTCACCAGCTGCTCCTTGAAAACCCTGCACAGGGCCGCTGAGTTGCAATCTACTTTAGAACACTTAACAATAACAAAGTTGTGTGCAAAGAGTCCTGGTGGTGCAGTGGGTTAAGCCCTGAGCTGCTAGCTTCAAGGTTGGTGATTCAAACCCACCAGCTGCTCTACAGAGAATCCTAAGGAACAGTTATAATCTATCCTAGGGGGCTCCTCAATGGGTTTATGTTTTTTAAGCTTCAAGTAGGGTCTAATTTTTGGAGCACATTATGGGTTCACTCTCCTTTTGGTGTCTGGAGTTGCCCTTAAGACAGCCTTTGGGGACTTGACAACATTGCTCCCGTGGCAGCATTTGTCGAATGAATACAAGACTGTACCTACCATTGGTGGATGAGGCAGTACTGGGGCAAGGCATTGCTGCTGCCTCCCTGCTTAGCGCCCCCAGGTGGCAGCATGTCCCAAGCAGAGGGAGGCAGACGGTGGGCGTTTCTGTTACAGGATGTTTCATGCTTTCTTTTCCAGACTCCTCAGTTTCCAGAAAGCCCTTGTATATGTGGATTCCCACAGCGTTATCATACAGCAGAAACCAGTTCCTTCAGGAAGATTTCTTTGGAAAAGAGTCAGGGTTTCAGTTAACGAACACGCAGGGTCGCCTGATTTTCATTAACTGTCATTAGTACTCCCCTGGGTCCATTTAAAAAACGTACCTGCAGGATCCATGTATATAGCTACTCTGAGCTTGAGGCCCTTCACCTGGTAGTCGGTATTCAGGCAGGTTCTGTGCTTGATGACACGGGGTGACCGCTTAGACTCATGTTGGCTGTATTTATGCATTTAATTACATGAAAGATGCATGAATGTTAATAAAAATCCACTTCGAGTCCTCCCAGCAATGGGGTTCCTTTGAGTACTGAATCCTATAGCCGTGGCCTCTCCTCCCAGATGGTTTTGAAACCTTCACATACATGAAGACATACATTGATGCTTTCTTCTCACCCACTGATGGGCAGTTGGGTCATTTCTCGCTTTTGTTTTTTGCTACTACAAACAATACAAATGAGAAACTTCTTGTGTAAATGAAACAGAATTCCATCTGAGGAGCTGAGTGATTAGGGAGTAATGTTTTTTTTTTGTTTGTTTTTTTTTCCCAAATGCCCTTTGAAAGCTGTTGGGGCTTAGTGATTACGGTGTTGGTTGAGGACACACAGAAAGTTCGAGAAGTCTAGGCGAGGGAAGCCTGACCTTGCTTTGGCAGCACAAACATCCGCATAACCGATGATGTTGGTGCACCAAGGCCAACGGGCTGCGGCTCCCAGATGCCAAGATTCCACAGTGTCCGGTAAGGGCCCCTCAGTACCCCAGGATCTTACTTCAGCTCACGGTCCGAGGAAGAAGCAGTTCAATTGAGGCTTTCACGTGGGCTGAGATTCGTAAACCCGAGAAGAGATCACACCAGCTTCGTTTCCGGGTTCTGTTTCCGAACCTCCACATCAGATTCAACTCGTACGGGTCAGATCGCACATTGCGCAGGCGCCTCCTATCGGAAGACATGCACGCATGCGCACGGGCGGGGGCTGGCAATAGTGATGAGAAACGAATTCTCGCGGTGTTGGTGCGGGCGGCGCCGTGGCTTAGTTGGTTAAAGCGCCTGTCTAGTAAACAGGAGATCCTGGGTTCGAATCCCAGCGGTGCCTACACTTTACGGGTGTGTGTATTTTTTTTTTTTTTTCCTAATCTTGCTCGCCTACCGGGCTTTCCCTCATTTGGGGTGGTGAAAGTGAATCTGGGGTGCTATTTTGAAAGTGAGCCGGATCTCTTGCCTGTGGCGGTGTGTTGCCTCGGGTCCCATGCAGCACCTTGGGGGAAACTCTGGCCAACCTCGAGTGGGCTCCTGCGGGTGTCCCTTGTCTCAGCCGAACTGTGGGGACTCCGATACTCAGTGACAAACTGTGGGTATTGGAGAGAGACTCCTGCGCTCCCGGAGGCCTGGCTAACCCGGAGACCCTCCGTAGTCTCCACGGAGCGGGAGGCCAGGTGGAAGTAAAGGTTAACCAGCCAGTTTTTTCTCGACTCGGCTCGTCTCCGGCTCCCTCCCACCTGGAAGCGGCCGGCTGACACCGCTCTGATTCTGCTGTCCACCTGCGGGTGTGGACCTTCTACCATCACTGTGCTGAGCGCCCCTTAAAGCATTGTTTGTTCATCCCCTCTCTCCACTTGCGCAATTAAGCAGGGACTACTGTTAATACCATTTTACAGATCGAAGAAGACGGCGGGTGGGGGGTGGGGGCGCGTGTTCAGGAAAGCCAAGTGAAGGCCATGAAGTGATGGGCGCACAGGGGCGAGTCAAGGCTTGAATCTGGCCAGTATTACCCTCAGGCGGATGGGAGTGTGGCCAAAACTCCAGATCAGAAAGGATAAATAGGACTTTTTCAGAAGTCCAGGTGTGAAGCTGAACCTGAAGGCGTGTCTCTGATTGTAAATACCCAGGGGCTGTGGAATACATGGATGTGGGACCTTTGCCCACATCACTTACATCACAGTCTTGGAGTGGGGAGAGCCACTGGAATCTTTATTTTTTAAAAAAAACTACCCTGGGTTCTAATGCCAAACTCAACAAAATTCTTGTGAAACCCAACTGAGCTGTGCAAATGCAAGATGTGTCAGCCATCCTAGGGAAAGGGGCATTGCTTGGGCTTGAAGCTTTGCTTGAATTCAATCAGGGATGAGTTTATTGGAGACTGGGCCTCCAGTCATTATGTGCCTGGTTTACTTCTGGCTTATCTTGACTTCTAAGGTGTTGATGTATGCTTGCAGCCGTTTCTGTATTACCTTTAGTAAAACTTTACTCACCTGGGATATCAAAGAGATTGTCTGATGATTTCTGCATTCCATTGGGTCACTTCTCTTTGGAACGGGCACAAATAAGGATCTCTTCCAGTCAGTTGGCCAGATAGTTGTCTTCCAAATTTCTTGGCAGAGATGAGTGAGTGCCTCCAGGGTATCACTGCTGATGTCTGATGGATCTTGGCTGAAAGCAGAAAATACCAGCAAGATGTTTACCTGTGCTTTATTGACTACACAAAGCCTTTCGATTGTGTGAATCATAACAAGCTATGAACAACATTGTGAAGTATGAGTATTCTGGAACACTTGTGTTCATGGACCAAGAGGCAGTTGTTCGAACAGAACATGGGAACACTGAATGGTTTAAAATTAGGAAAGGTATGCGACAAGGTTGTGTTCTTTCACCATACTTATACAACCTGTATGCTGAGCAAGTAATACGAGAAGCTGGGTTCTATGAAGAAAAACGTGGCATCAGGATTGGAGGAAGACTCATTAACAATCTGTGCTATGCAGATGATACAACCTTGCTTGCTGAAAGTGAAGAAGACTTAAAATGTTTACTGATGAAGATCAAAGAACACAGCCTTTGGTATGGATTACATCTCAATGTAAAGAAAACAAAAATCCTCACCACTGGACCAGTAAACAACATTCTTGTCAATGGAGAAAAGATTGAAGTTGTTAAGGACTTCATTCTTCTTGGATCAACTATCAATACTCATGGAAGCAGCAGTCAGGAAATCAAATGACATATTACATTAGGCAAATCTGCTGCACAAGACCTTTTTAATGTGTTGAAGAGCAAAGATGTCACCTTGAGGACTAAGGTGCACCTGACCCAAACCATGGTATTTTCAATAACTCATATGCATGCAAAAGCTGGACAGTGAATAAGGAAGACCATAGAAGAATTGATGCTTTTGAGTTACAGTGTTGGAGGAGAATATTGAAAGTGCCATGGGCAGCCAAAAGAACCAACAGATCTGTGTTGGAAGAAGTACAACCAACAACCTGTTTGGTAAGGTCAGAGAAAACAAGGAAGACCCCCAGCTAGATGGATTGGCAAATGACAGCATCAATGGGCTTAAGTGTGGCAAAGTTGTGAGGTTGGCCCAGGACCGGGCAGTGTTTCGTCCTGTTGTGCATTGGATAGCTATGAGCCAGTACCGACTCGATGGCACCTAACAACAACAAAGGTTTTGAGGGTCAGTTTTGAGCATTTGCCTATTAAATGTCCAAGAAGAGATGTTGAGTGGGGGTGTGAGTCTGTGCACAAGGAGTTTCAGATGGAGGAAAACATTTAGGAATCATCAGCCATGCATATGCAAAGCATGGCTCAAAAGCCATATGATTGGGTGAGCACCCTGGGCAGTGACTAAACTGAGTGAAGAGAAACAGGCCCAGAGTTCAGCCTACCCATCTTTCTGTTCCTTAACAATGCTGTACCAAGACAAGGGCCAAAGAAACATCATCCTAGGGAGGCCTAAAGAACAAATCAATCTGTGTTGGAAGAGGCACAGCAGAATGCTCCTTGGAAGCCCAGATGGCAGGACTTTGTCTCTCATACTTTGGACATATTGTCAGGAAGGATCAGTCCCTGGAGAAGGGCATTGTGTTTGGTAAAATGGAGGGTTGGAGAAAAAGAGGAAGACCCTCAACGAGATGGATTGGCACCGTGGCAGAAGCGATGGGCTCAAATGTAGCAATGAGTGTGAGATTGGAGCATGACCTGGTAGTGTATCCTTTGGTTGTGCAGAGGGTCGCTATGGGTTGGTATCGACTCAATGGCACACAACAACAAGGGAATGTAAAAATCAAGATGGATAAAGAGGAGGTCACAAAAGAGAGCAG